AAAACAGCACTGTGATTAGATGTAAGGCATATTGGGATAAATAATTGGGTATCAAACAAACACCCAGAAGAAAGTGGTGTCACTGTCAACACTGTAGCAGGGTGTTTTTCTGGTTTGTAGCCTGATGCCTTAACCACTACACAAAACTGGCTTTTTCCCTCAGCCATAGCCACAGGCCTGTCACACTCCCACAGATCAATTTACCTTATAGTTAAGAGAAAACAAATCTGAACCACAAGGAAAGGCAGGATTTAAATCCTTACAAGTAATTAAGTAGCTATATGACATCCCAGCTTCATAATACTGGGTGCTGGAGCGAAGCATGTTAATTTGAAATAATGTTAATGAAGACCTTTAGTGTTGTATTGAAAGAGATGTATCATTTGTTTCTTGCATTATCTGCTATTAAAACCAAATGTGAAAGGAGCCAAATTCTACTAAGAGAACGTCAGTTCTTGATTCACACATTTTAGAAGTTATCACCATCTTTTTATTCCTATTATTAATTTTTAATCTCATTTTTCTGTCTTAACAAAATTCAAGCCAGCTTGCACCAATTAAAAGTACAAATGATTCATAAAAAGTAAAACAATACCATTAAAATCAGAGGTAAAATTAGTCACACTAAAATAATTCAATTAAATGCTTAATAAAAGAGGTAAGGTTTGCTTTTCTCCTAAGAATATTCTCCTGAGTATAATAAAGGAGAAGAGTATTTTATAACCTGGAAAGGACACAGAAAAAAATCCAGGAACATAAGCTTCTGGCTGTGAGAGGCTATTCAAAAAGGCCTCTCTTGATAATCTAACTAATGAGGCAATAATCAGGCCATCCTGATTTTGTAAGCAGTTATTTCATGGCCTATCCCATGTAGTTGTCATAACAATCTTTCACATTAAAACTTTGGATAAAGCTTCTGTTGACAAAGACAAATGGCATGTTGAGGATTATTAGAAAAGGAACAACAAAAAAAGTGGAACTGTCAATATAATGATGCCTTTACACAATTCCATTGTATAACAACATTTGGAAATTCTGATCACTGCACTTTGAAAGAAAAACTACTAAAAGTAAATATAAAGAAAAGGCAATTGAAGTGATCAAAAAGCTAAAAGAACTTCCCCATCAAAAAAACCTTTGGCATCTGGTATATATGAAAATGTGTAATAAGTAATATTGGACAAGTAATGTTACACAAATAGACAAAATGGAAAGAAAAACATTTCTTTTCCTCTCTCAAAATTCTAACTAGAGCTGTGTTTGAACTGAAATGTGGGAGCTTCAGAATAGATCAAAGAAACTACTTATTGACATTGTGCAGTCAAGGTCTACGAGTCACTATCACATGATATAATGTTATCTAACAGTTTGAAAAGTTGAGATAAATCCAGGGAACTATCAATTGCTGGTGATATGCATGGTGGCCATAATTTCTTCTTGTATCAGAGGCATTGTATTTCTCAACAATGGATCCTCAAAGAAATGCGTGGGAGGATCCTGATGTCCTCATTGCCGACAATAGAAGGCTTCCTTGGTTGGTCACTTACACTTGTACGGTAAGTGTAACACTGCATTAATTGGCAGTCTTGTCTATCCAGCAAAGTTCATATTCTTATATTAGTATTCTGAATTCACATCCAACCTGTATGCACTAAATACTGTGTTCAGACATGTCTGCACTGGAAACAACCTGTTATCCTTAAAAAGGAACCACACCTTTAGAACAACAAACGGGACATCCTTTTCCAGTTCTTCTAGAAGAAGCAAAAATTCTGTTTCTCTTTGGAGAGCTGCTGGGACAGTTTTCTAGAATTATTAAAAAACAGATAAGAAAATGTAAGAAAAAAATAGCAACTACGAATAAGAATTGCTACATACTTTGACAACACCTAGCAATATTCCACTACTGTGATATTTCCCCAAAGAAATGGACTGCATTTTTATTTGCAATTGCTCCTTCAGCTATTGAACCAACATTTGACTCAGACTCAAGGGTTCCACTGATTTTAGCTACACATATAGCTGGGGAAATTATTTTTGCTACTCCCAGATTATTTAATTAATGTAGACAACTGCTCAATTTCTCATTAAGTCAAGAGGTGAATTTGAATAGCAGCTTTACAGTCAGGAATTGCAGGTTAGATTGATTTTCAATGAACAGGAGCAAGACAATTTAAAAATATGAGAACCTTCACAAACATTCCACAGCATATCTTATGAAAATTACATTATAGGAGTATAGTGAGATATAGCAATTAATTAGAGGGTTTTTTTGCCTTTCAATCAGTGTTGACTCCTGGTGACTTCTTGGACAAGAAAATGGCAAGATTCTGGAAGTGATTACCATTCCCTGCTTCCCAGGGCTGAGAATGACTGGTGCAAGTTTACCCAGCTGGCATTGTGTCTAAGGCCCCATGGTTTCCTGGGTACTAACCTAATGCCTCAACCACTACACTAACTGCATTTTAAAAAGAAAAAAGAAAAGCATTTTTTCTATTGAAGTAAGAAAGAATGCAATGTGCCTATTTGATTGCAAGTCATTTTCCTTTGCATTGTTCAGAATTATTTACCAAGCTTCTTCCTAGTCAGCACTAGTTGGCTTATTTGGCTTAGGGTAATTGAAAGAAAGACTTAAGATGTCTTATAATTACTCCAAAGATGATTCCTATATTTTATTGCTACTGCAAAATTCTCTCTATACTAGACATAGTATTTTTCTACATAGGACTAAAATGTTTTTCTTTACCTGTTTGTGTGATAGCCATTCCTTCAATACAAGGAGCCAAAACCAAGCAAGTTTTTGAGGACTGTGCTTTGATTCACTCCTACAAATATAACATGTAATCAAGAATACATTTACATACTATAAGTTTACTTTTTTAAAAAAAGACTCTTAATCATGTTTTAAGCTGCAACCACAGCAGGAATTACACAATATTCCAGAAAACTCAAATTTTCAAAATTTCATCTCAAGCTAAATATGCACATACTGTAATCTCCCTCCTCTAACTTTCTACAACCCCAGTCACTTGGACTTCTTCCATCTGCCATAACTGTACTTTTAGGAAATCTATAGCAAATGATCCAGTTTAACTTTAAGAATAAAATAATATTTTTTCCAAAGTAACCACTAAGAAAATTATTTCCCTATGTGCTCCAATAAATCACCAATTTTATATACTCAAAAATGTAGTAAACCATTTAAAAGCTAACATGCAGTAGTATTCAATCTTGTGAATATCAGTGTGTAAGCACCACCAGCAGTTTTAAAACTCTGGAGTTTCTTTAATTCCTGAAAAATATTTCATGTTAGTGCTAAGCATCAGAAAGACTTCATTCTGCCTTTAACCACAATGTGCACATTAAACTCAAAATAAATTTCAGCTGGTCTACATGGAACATGAAAAATAATTTCAGGCTGTAGTAAATTATAAATCTACCTGCAAGTAATCACACCGAAAATAATTAAGAATTACTTGTCCATATGCATGTACAGGATTGTATTGTTACATGTTATAAATGATGAAATCCTCTTTTCACACTACTTTCACCCATTTGTGGTTGAATATAACTTACCTCAAATGGGAAGGGCAGATTATTAGGGCATGAAGGATTTTTTCAACCTTTTCAGAGCCATCATCCTGCAACTGCTGTAACTGAGGGACACAGGCCTGTGCCAGTTCCCAGTCTCCCCTTTGCACACATTCAGAGAAGAACCAGAAGAGTCGTTCAAGGGATGCTGCTTCCTCCCTACCAAATGGATACATTTTCCTGCTTCAAAAGGCAAAACCTCGATTCATCAGCTCCTATTTTTAAATATATTTCATATACAGGTGTTGCTTATAATGTATTTCCTAAAATGAAAAGATTTTGGAAAAAGGAAAAAAAAAAGAACTTTAGTCTTTCTCCAAAGTTTAGCCAACTAGGAAACTACAATAACTGTTTTCTGATTTAAAAGTCCAAATTCATCACTCTCATCAAGCAGGTGGAGAAATGTTTCTTTGTTGACAGATTCCAATTACCAGCTTTCCAAATCCTAAGTGACTCTGCCAAAATCTGCACCAAAAATCAATAACTTGCAAAAACATCCTTGTTTACATACTACTCATTTCAATCAGCAGAACTACTTAGACTTAGTTAATTCTGCTGGGAAACTGTGTACAAAACAACATTTGCAGTATTATTTTTACAACTATGAGAAATAGTAACTAGAATTCCCCACTAAATCAAAATGTCCAGGCATCTATCCTTCCTGAGGTCTAAATGTATCCAATTCACATGATTTCCACTTCTTCAACAGGTACTCTGAAATAAGTCTTCTCACTCTAGCAGACTGGTTAGCTCCCACAAAGACTCGTTTTTCGCTGGCTCTTGGCCGCCATCTAGTGGTCGTCCAGATTCCCGCAGGCCAGACCGGGTGGTCCTACACCTAAGGCAAAGGAGGAATATTGTACAGTCTTGACATTAAGAATGCCTCACTGGGGTCTGGCGGCCTCCAAAACTTTTCGAAGCCACGCCTTCATCACAGCAAACGCAGGCAACGACAGGGGAAGTTCTGCCCGTCTGAATTTGCTGATGGACGCGCCGTCTCCTCTGATGAGAGCAGCCTCTGCAAAACTTTCCCAGACATGAAAGTCCCTGTTTCGGTCTCGGAGTTTGACCTCTCACGGTCCCCTTGTTCCCTCAGATCTCCGCCTTGTAAAAGAGATAACTGTTCTCGCCTCCAGCCTGACTCACCTGGGGGACCAAACTAAATAACAGCGTTACTATTTTCTGCGCAACCCCTCCTTCCCGATGCCATCAAGCGTGATGGCCGCAGCCATGTTGAACAGCGTATCAGGTGATCTAACAGGCCAGTGACGTCACGGGCGGACTGGAAGGGAAATACGCCATTGCTTCGTCGGGCAACGAGTCTGGGCAAGCGCCGTCATTCAAACGGGAAGGCGCTCACCCTTTTCCTTTCGTTTCCCGTCTTCCCTACCTGTTCAGTCCTGCCCCGCGGAGGGTGCGAATGCGGCTGCGCAAAGGTTCTTGGCTTTAGGGTTATCCCGAGTTGCGCTGTATGAATCTCGGCCGTTGTGACCGTGTCTGGATTTGTGCATCTGGGATCTCGCAACACAGCAGGCGCTTCTTCTTCGCTTCAGACTCTTATGGAAAAAAAGGAAGGAAAGCAGAGAAATAATTTCTCTGAGTCCTGAGAGGTGGAGGCAAAGGCAATGATCCCCACGATCCAGTGCGAATGTTCGTGTGGACACGCACAAGTCCACAGAATTTGGTGATAGCAGTATACAAAACTAAAAAAGCTACTCTTGTTCCGGGGTGGGTGGTGTTTTGTTTTGTTTTGTTTTAATTTCTTAGTCTGGTCTACATCCCCGTGGTTTCTTAGTGATCTCCCATCCAACTACTAATCCAGCCCAGCTCAGTTTAGTAACTTTTCCCCAAGGCGAATTGGAGAGTGGAACCTGTGCTGTGAGGTCCTTCAGTAAAAAAAATATTAGGAATTGCTTTGAGCAAGAATCTCAATAGACATTTTCAAAGGCAGGTCTGTCCTTTCCTAGTGAAACAAATGCAATGCTCTAGGAATATGCACAGACTTCAAAACACCGTTTTATTTGAAACCAGTGCAATTTACACACCATGTATAATTCTACTACTCTTTTCTCCTTGTAGGGAATGTACATGGCTCTCAATAAATTATTCTGTAATGGTATAGTTTTAATAAGCTATAGCTTATCAGTGGTCACCTACTTATCCCATTCACTTTCTTGACACGTTTAAGTTCCTTTATATATAGTATTTCCCTTGCCAAAAACTAAGCCGGACCACATAGTTTCCTAGCTATGTGGTCGGGCTTAGTTTTTGGGAAGGAAATAGGAGGGGGAATTCTGCCTCTATCCACAGTATTCATCGGTATTCATCTGATTAGCATCCTGTCAGTGTGTAAGAGAGTTGAGGGCTGTTTGGAAACTGAAACAGTATTTGCTGTGTGAGCAAGAAGGAGACAGCAATGAACCTGGGCGTGGTTTAGCTCAACTGTTCTGTACTAAAGTTGCTTGGTGCTCTGAAACTGAAACTCCTCTGCTTGTGTTTTGCATTTGGAACAGATTTCTTTTCAGATGGGGAGGGGGAGTAGAACTCCTTAGCATCAGAGCGTGTTAATAATAATAATATACAAAATACTAATGCTATAATGGTCAATTGAAAAATCCTTTCTTAGTGAGCACCTATATATATATATATATAATGCTCCAACACTGGAAGTTTTTTTAAAAAAATGTTGGATAACTATTTGTCTGAAGTGGTGTAGGGTTTCCTGCCTAGGCAGGGGGTTGGACTAGAAGACCTCCAAGATCCCTTCCAATTTTGTTATTTTACACACACACACACACACACACACACACACACACACCATTCAAGGAACATAACTTTTCTGTCTTCTCCCATAGAACTAGCCTTATTCCTTAAGTTATTTTGAATTGAACCCATGTGAAAAAGAATAGGTTAGGAAACAAAATTTATTTTATAAATCTATCACTTCAGAGACAGCCTGGTGTCAGCACTCTTTCTTTAAAGGCAGGGATGGACCATTTATCATGGAAAGGTTTCCCTTTGAATCATGGTTGCTGTCCAGTCTTGCTGAGCAAAATGTAAAGCACTTGAAAGAAGAGCTATTTCATGAAGTTGATTAGCACAAATTGCTAATGCTCCAGCTCTTTTTTGGAAGACTCCTGGGACTGCTTTGAAGCACGTCATAACTGTCATGTCATAACTGTCATAACTGTCAACACATGTATGTGCACGCCCAACTGCTTCAGGTCATTGTCAGTCCCAATGGAAATTATTGTTCATGTAAACAGAGCCAGCTGTCTTCCCACATTATATCCTCTACCTAAACCCCTTTTCCTCTTATTGTAGTATTGAGACTCTGATACTCAGTTTAAATGTCTATGGAGATTCTCAGTCATCCAGATCATAGTTGTCCGAAAGATGCTTTTTCAAGAGGCAGCTGGACTTTCTGGTTTTTCTTTGAAGATATTTCGCTTCTCATCCAAGAAACATCTTCAGCTCTGACTGAATGGTGGGGAATAGAAAGTTTTCTACTTCCTGATGACAGCTGGTCATTTGCATTTTTTTAGAGAGTCATTGAGGCCACCTGGAGGTTTATTTGTGTAGTCAGGGTTACCTGAGTAATGCAGATGGGTGTGGAGCCTTCTTGGAACTATTGAAAGGACTGTGTTGTAGACTGGAAATAGATGATGTGGCATTCCTCCCCCTCTGTATGGTAGATGATGTCTTTGACCCCTCTTTCAAATCAACAGTCTTTTCTGTCCAAAATGTGGACTTTACTGTCTTCAAAAGAGTGGCCTTTGTCTTTTAAATGCAGCTAGACTGCTGGATCTTGTCCTATAATCAGTTTAGTTTCATTTAATGTTACTACCTTGCAACTTAAAGATGTTTGGAAAAAGATGGAAAGGAAAGGAAAGGAAAGGAAAGGAAAGGAAAGGAAAGGAAAGGAAAGGAAAGGAAAGGAAAGGAAAGGAAAGAAGGAAAGGAGGCATTTGCAGGGTTGGGTGGGAAAGCAAGGAGGGTTTGTTTCTCCCAATCTGTGCAAAAATGGAAGCGGTGCCCACAGAGACATTAAGGATTGAATGAAGCTTCTAGGGTTGAAGACTGAGGAGTTTTGAACCAAAGCTGAAAACCCAGATGCAGAGTCCATGTGCAATAGGCTGAGTGTGGGAAGAGGAGGATGACATTACTTCCTCATACAGGAAGTGACCTCTACTGGCAATGGGCCAAACAGTATTTGCAGAATCTTCCCAGTTTGCTCCAGGATTCTGTAATAGTTTAGTTTCCAAAACATTAACATTTCCAATTGTACATGCCATGAATATAATCGCCATTATTTATTTACCATTACATCTCACTGGTATTAAGCTTGTTCACCTTTTTGAAATCCATGCGATTGTAATATTTGAAAATCAAGTTTGTAAAGACATTGGAATTATAGCTGGTTCAGCACATCTTTAATTTTTTCTGCTTATTTTTGTCCTGAAGAGAAGAGCCCTTTTGTCTCTGAACTGAGACCACCAAAATATTTCATTATGTGGCACACTATTCTCCAAGTATTGATTTACAGACAACATCATCTTCTCAGAGATTTTTCCTTGGATGATGCTGTGTATGGTTAGCACCATACAAAAACTACCCGTTGTTGATCCTTGGGAGAGAAGGCAAAGCAACTGACCTTCCTTCTTACTATTCCGGTTGTATTTTGAAGATACTGACTATTGTGACTCAGCTATATGCAAGGGTGGGGCCTAGCTGGTGTTTCTTAGAGATTATGTTCCCCACGATATCCCCTCTTTATTCTATCATTTTTGTTTCTTATGTGGATGTACAGAAACAGGAACAAAAGTTTTTGGATCATTTCTAAAGAATATAGCAAGCCAAAAAAAAAATGACAGATAATGACAGGTGCGCAAATGTAAGTAAACAAAACAAAACAAGACCTACTTCTGAGTAAATTTATTTAGAAGGGTAAACAAAAAAAGTGTACTGTCTGTTTCACAAACTTGAAGCTAACCAGAGAAAAACTACTATTTATTCCTTGCATTATCTCATGTTTTCAAATTGAAGTTGATTAAAATTGCTTCTTGATATAATTATTTTATGGAAAAGGCTGACAAAGTTAAGAATCAGAAATATTTGCGTAGCCTGAAGTATTGTTCACTTGTGGGATTATTTAGGCTTCAGTGTAAAGCCAGGGAGAATCACAAAATATGCATAGTTATCATAAACATTTAAAACTATAGATTTTGTAAAGTACTACTGGAACTAAATGAGAGTTTCTTATATGTGTGGGGATTAATACCCAGCATGATTTTATATACAGTATTTATGTGTGAATAATTTGCATTTGTATAGGGAGGGAGTGTATAGAATAGACATACTTCCCTAACACTTATTCATGCAAAATACTTAGAAAGTATCTCTTCATACTGTGATCAGTGTTTTTCCATTGCTGAACAAGATCTTCAACAGAGTAATAAACAAGTTGAACAGAAAATGAGAAGGCGATTGTAATCTTGATTTACCAAACCTGTGGAATATAATTAGTCTGCAATGAAATTTTGTATATAAAATGTAGTATCACAGAAATTGCTCCACAGCTGGGGCCTAGATGACCTAAGTGTCACTATATTCCAGCAAAGCACCTAAAAAATATAAGGGTTCTAATGACGTGATGAGTAGCAGAGTGTTGAGTTTATTTAAGGTAGACTTCAATGAAATCCATTTCATAAAACTGAGCTGTCCTTCCATTTTCCTCTTTATTGCTGTGAATGTTCAGAAAAACAGGCAGAAAAGCATTGAAAGGCATTTACTGTTAGGAAAATAATCAGTGCATTAATAGGTGTGTAGGTTAATAATGAACATGTTTGTAATTGTTGCCTAGTTTTCTATGTTATTATGTACTATAGAATTCTAGAAATGGACACTGAATTCAGCCTGATGCCCCATGCAGGAATCCAAATTCAAGCCTTCCTTGTGGGGTGGCTTTTTAGCCTCTCCTTGAATGTTAAGAAAGCTTAACAATTTTGTGGACTATTAGAGCTATTATCAAAATGCTCTGAATCTTAGTAATGTTTTAATGTTAAAAATGTCATCTTTAACCACATATTCAGAATGGTTTTTTTAACCACATTCAGACAGAGAAGTATGTCGGTGACATTAAGGGTGGACTGAGGCCAACTATGAAAATCACTATCATGGGTATGATATATCCTAGTCCCAAAAGGTAAGTATATGACATGCTATTTGAGCTGCAGTTAAATTGCCCATTAGGGCCAAAACACATTATTTGAAAGACAAGAAAGGCAGACTGGCTGTTGGATTCTCTGATAAAAAGATTATTTCCTTCTCTCTGAGAACATAAAAAGAAATGTGGAATAAAAAGACATTTCTTATTCCTGAGCAAGGCATTTTATTTCAAACAATTAGTTTTTGTAATGTAATTTCCAAATTGAGGCCAGTGGGGGGGAAATGGGAAAAAAGATGCATTCTGAATTGTAAATATTGCATTGAGTAGAAGATTGGATTAGATCAGAAGTTTCCAAATATTGAGAGACAATGTAGTCATTTGGGAAAGGTGTCCTGGGTGCCATCAAATACATGTATAAATGAATTTTGCACTTACATGTTTTCCCCCTTTTTATTTTTCTCATTTTCTGAATTCTTCTGCCTTGTTCGCTTTACATTAAAAAGACATTTTCATTCCTTCCTTCCTTCAGTTTATATTTATGTAAATTTATATCCTCCAATTCATGACTTTTGGTGGTTCTCAACAATTAAAACACCACAAAAATGCATAACAATAAAAAAAAACAACTCGCACATAAGCAACAACAAAGGTAAAAACAGAACAGCCCACAATAAATCAACACAACCATTGAATAGGCTCTGCCACACATCAGGATCCCTGAGCTGGGTAACAAAACCAGGACGTTAAGGTCTTATAAAAGACCAGCAGGATCATTTTGCCAACTTTCGCTTGAATTGGAATGACATTTTTAAAAAATGACATTCCATGGGTTAATAAGCTGAACAATGGCAGAATTCCTTTGTCACCCACACCTTTTTTGTCCATGGTGTCTGTTAATGTAATTGCCAGCATTTGTTTTTTTTTTTCCCATTTCCTCTAAACTATTTGTTTTTATTTCCTGAAACAATTTACAAATCATTGAGATTCTGGATGCATCTAAAACATTGTTTGATTTAAAATCTACCTGTATTTAGGCAACTCAAGGCAGTATACATAATGCTCTCCTGTTTTTCCTACAACTACAACCCTGTAAGGTGAGTTGGGCTGAAAGTGTGATGAGCCCAAAGTTACTCAGCTGGTTTCTGTGCCAAAGGAAGGGCTAGAATTCATAGTCTCCTGGTTTCTTGTCCAATGCCTTAATTTTACACAAACCATAACACTAGTTTTATATACAGTAGCTGTTTTTATATTAAAAATACATTATAATAATGTATTTTACTAATACATCCTAAGTCTTAGGATGCTGTGGATTTTGTTGGTTTTTCTACACCAGACTAACATAAGACCATTAGTTTTATTAGATCTGACTGGCAAGGATCCAGCTCCTTACCAGACAGCAGCAATGATTTAAAACAGTGCTTCTCAACCTATGACCTGCGAATGTTCGGAGTCTGCAAAGGCTTCAAGAAATGTTAGGATTTAAATCTTGACTAAAGTCTTGGTTGGTTCGTGGCCGTGGTCCGTGGGGGTCTGTGGTGAAGAAAAGGTTGAGAACTACTGATTTAAAGCCTTTGAGAAAGCTTTGCTGTCTTCTAGCGATTATCTGGATTTTTGCGCCAAAGCCCACAAATACATGTTTTCAAATGACATACTTCTGGTGGGTGTAACAGGTCAATTTATTTATTTTTAATCAAAAGGGGATTATTTCCTGCTTTTATTACATCAAAAATCAGATTTATATCACACTACACAAAATGACATCACCACCCCGTGTCTTTTATACCATTTGTTTGTATTGTGCAGATTGTAACCTGTCTGATCGATAGAATCATATGGATAATCCAAACAACGTTGCAAATAAATCTGTAATGAGCCCTCTATTTTTGCCTTCCTCTTTATTTTTCATTTCCAATACCTTGGTGTTTTTTTCCCCAACTATTTTTCCCCAGCTATTTTTTTTTCATATTCACCCACAAGTTAAGAGGAGTAAAAATAACTGAATAGTTTTGCTTACTATTGCTTGGAGATTTTGATCTGGAAGCATTCATGCAAGACTTTGCTGATTAATTGTAATCATTTTTTGGCTATGAGTTTCATTCACTTTTAGTATTATACCAACAGGGCTGAGTTAGGAGAAATATAATTGATTTTTTTAATTGCTGGTAGAGTACATCATATTTGCTACATGTTGTGGAAATAAATGACTATGTGCACATGGTTGGAAAACTTTTAAGGTGGAATTTCAAATTTTAATGGTTGGGAAGATGCTGCGTCTTGTATAGATTCTTTATATTTGAGGGATTATTTTATTCCAGGGCAATTACGTTGTTTTATTGTAGAGATTGTTTTTAACATTTTGTACATCCCTTAAAGCCTGTTGATAATGGGTGTCATGGAATATTAGGAAGGAGAAAGAGAATGAATCACTCTTTATAAATCATATGCTGTCATTTTGCATTGCTAAACTCTGTAGTTCCTTAATGCAGGGGTCTCCAACCATGGCAACTTGAAGCCTGGCGGACTTCAATTTGCCAAGGTTGGAGACCCCTGAATTAATGCATATTACTTTCTTGTAGTTTTTCAGTGACTTTGCTTTGTGAACCGAAGGATGATCACGCAACCAGAGATATTGGATTATTACTTGTAGTCAGCTTTAGTGAGAAATCCATTGTCCGGAATTCGCAAATTGCTGGGAAATGGGGCAAGGAGGAAAAGACAATTCCCTACTTTCCATTTACAGCAGAGGACTCATTTAAGGTAATCTCTCTATCTTTCTCTCTCTTACACACACACACACACACACACACACACAGAGAGAGTCTTAGGACTGTGTATAACTTTGGATTCAAAGATTCAAAGGCAAAAAGGTGACTTAGCATCAAACTTCAACTCTTTAAAGCAGCTGTATCTTTTCCTGTTATTGTGCCCTGTGTATTCTGAAGACTTTGAAGTATTGCACAGTCTAATAAGTTTATGCCTGGCAATCTATGTTGCCTAATTCCTGAGCGGCGTGGTGGCCTAGAGGTGAAGATGTTCGCCTCCCACTCGGAAGGTTGAGAGTTCAGGCAGCGGGAGATGTTTACGAGGCACAAAGATAAAATATTTGCTGTGAACTCCACATAGGTGTCAGGAAGGGCAGGAGTCAGGAAGGGCAGAAGATGCTCAGCTCCATTCAGTCGCTCTGACTCCATCCTGAATAACAGGATTAAGGGGTTGTAAAAAGAAAAAAAATCTATGTTACCTAATTCCCATTGTTAACTGACAATCCTCCAAATCTTCAACAGCAACATTCTCCAGCTCTTCAAATCGTTTGACATTTCACTCTACAAGAATTCTAATATCTATAAACCAGGACAAAAATATTGACAAAAAAAGTGTGGTTCCAAGCTGCAGGAAGTTATATTGTAAGTCGCTCAGAGTTATTGGATACGTGATGGGTGACAAATTTTAAAACAAACAAAAGTTCCCCACCATCCTTTAACCTGGAGAGACTGAATTTGTGGCCCCATTCATACAAAACATTGCTTTCTATTTTACCTTCTACAGGAGCAAGAAGAAGAGAAACTAGACCAGCCTGTTGTTTGGGATAAACTGGTTGTCTTTAAGAATACTTGGTGCTGGTGCATTTGTATATATTGCCCAAATCTTATATCTTATAATTCACTAAATATTGAAATATTAATATTCTTGCTTGACTATCTGCAAGGTGCTTGCATGCACAACTTTCCAACAATTTCTTTTGCCTTTTGTTCATTTTAAGATGGAACTTTTATGTGAACATCAGCAGATCCGAATCCTGCTCGACGGACGGCAGTTGTGTAGTTTCAGTCACCGCGTGCAGCCTGTGCAAAGGATGACTGTTCTGCAAATCTCAGGAGACCTCAAGCTTACCAAGGTGGCTTGAATGAAATAATAAATGCCCTTCCCAATGTTGAGCTACAACATTCAGCAGTCCTAGGCAAAATGACTTAACTGCAAAAGATCCTAGGAGTTTTAACTCAATGCCCAAAGGGTCCTAAATTTTCCATCACTGTAATAAATAATCCCATATCATTACTGCTTTATGGCAAAAGTCCTTTTTGCATTTTCTTTTCTTTGCCTTTATGTGTGCCTTTTGAAATGTTGGTCTGTTACGTTTTCTTAAAATTCCACCCCCTTCCAAAATAATTTAAACATTGCTTTTTACTTTAGTTCAGGATTCTGGGAGTCTTGCAGGTCTAATTCTGTTACATCTGATTGCAAATGTTGGGATGAGAGAGCTGCAGGTGGACAGAGGTTTTATATTAATTTCTAAGAGGAAGACTATTATATGCATAAAGATGTTTTCAGCACATTTTTTAAAAAATTGTGAAGTATGTTCATTGGAGCTTGTTCCCAGGTAAATGTGTACGCTATGTTGAAAAAAAATGAAAATAAAATAATTGTGTGTAACTATCTCTATTTTATTTAACTCAACGCAATATGTTTCTCTTGCATTGAACTTCACGTCACTTTTCTCTCCAATTAAGATCAGAGCATTCTCTGAGCAAAAAACATTTGATTGGAAGAATAGATTCCAGCGCTGAATCAAGTTTGTGCTACAAGGATTAATCATTTTTATCCTATTGATGTTACTATCAATCTACCAAAATGATTTTATACACACTTGTCCAATGAGAGCATCCTTTCCAGGCTCCTATTATCTTAAGAGGGATGCTTTCTTCCAACATTATCTATATATGGTTTTCTACACAAAATTCCATCACTCTTTCTCAGCCTTTCCTATTTTACAAGGTTATTACCAAGAGGGGCATGGAAACAGAACATGGGTTCTGTTTTGTATGCTCCCATACAAAAGGCAGAATATAAATCACATAAAAATAAACAAGCATCTCATTGTTTTAAAAAATGCAACTTCCATCTTGTGAAGATGTAGCATTTTCCCAGAGAATTCTATATTCTGGAACATTTGACCCAGCTTTGAGGTATAGCTGTCCAACTTTTTAACCTAGCACTGCTTAGGATGCCTTCACTTAATGTGATCGCAGAGTCCCCAAATGGTTATTTTTTAAAAAAAGAAATTTTAGGAAGCTAAGGAATACAAGAGTAAAAAAAAGTTTATTTTTAAAATAAAAATATGAACATTTAAATCACTACTCAGTGTTTACATTCATGCAGGATCATAGACAATGAATGGAATTGGAATTGGGGAGTGGGGGAGAATGAAACTTGGCAGCATGTAGAGTCCACCATCTCAGTGTTAATGGTAAAAATATAACTGATCTTTCCAACAATTCTAAGTATTCCAATACCAGTTTTAAGTAAAATCTGAATTTATGCTCAGATTATATATATGCATTATATTTAAGACATTTTTCCTCTTCCACTCCCACTGTATGAGAACAGCAGCCAGCACATGAGACTTTTCATATTGCCATCCCAGTGTATTTAATAGAAATGTCCCTTTTCCAAGGAACTCAATGTAGCACCTGATAGCTGTTCAGTTCGTCTTTCTTTTTTTCATTACAGGAATCCTGCAGGGCAGGGTCAGACTGACAAGATAATTGATTTAAAGTTATGCTGGGCCTGGCTAGGAACAGGAGGCAAACAGCAAACTTTGTTCTCTCGGGAAATCTAGGGCACGATGAGTTAGAAACCCATGGCAATATTAATATGGTGAATTTGCTCCTGTCTTCAAAATGTAAATACTAAGCAGCAACAGTCTTGGTCTTCACCTTCTCGAATAATGCTGTCATCCCTGAAGCTTCCCACAAGTTAAATAGAGGAGAAAAGAGGCCCTGCAAGTATGACATCTAAAGATATACAGTAGATCATTAAGGGATTTGCACAAAATCGTTTTGAAAGAGCCAGATTTGGTTCCAGAATGCTGGTTCCAGATTAGTTTCTCTTCCGCAGCCAATTTAGTTCTATTTCAGATGGGGCTTCCGGACAGCATATTCCAAACTGCAGAATAGTGCAGGCAATCAACATGTCATATATTGTCAGAATTTATGGAACTTCTGATGAAGTGGATGTGTCATAATAGGCTTCCTTGCTTCAGAGAAAAAGCCTAAATATAGTAGATCTGTCAGGTACTAACTATGCCAGGCTAAAGCAACTCAGCCAGCAATCTCAAAAGAAAAAAAAGAACCCAGATCCTTTTTATGTCCTTGTATTAAACTGTCCCATAAATGCAACTTGGATACGTATCCTATGTTAGTGGCTTGATTGCCTCAATCCAATTAGCTCTTTCTGCCTTGGACCTAGCTTGTATGTAATAGTGAATATCATTCTTCGTGATAATTTTGAAGAGGTTGCCCTGCACATTTCCTTTTACTCCTGCAAAAGAAAAGAAAACAGTCGTTTAATAGGACATACAGATAAGTGTTCAACTTACAACCATTCATTTAGTGATTGTTCGAAATTACGACACTGAAAAAAAGTGACTTATTGACTATTTTTCAAACTTATGACCATTGCACGGGGAAGCCAGATTCACTTAAAACTGTGTTATACTTTAACATTTGCAGTGATTCACTTAACAAGGGTGGCACGAAGGGTCATAAAATGGGGCACAATTGACAACTATCTTGCTTAGCAACAGAAACCTTGGACTCAATGATGGCCATAAGTGATGACTATCTGTAGAGAGAGCCAGTTTGGTGCAGTGGTTAAGGCATCAGGCTAGAAACGGGGAGACCATGAGTTCCAGTCTTGCGTGAGGCAAAAAGCCAGCCGGGTAAACTTGGACCAGTCACACTCTCTAAGCTCTAGGAAGGAGACAATGGCAAACCACTTCTGAAAATCCAGGAAAACTATGAGGATTTTTCCAGGTACTTGCTGGGATTTTAAAAAAAATTATGCAAAGGCACCCCCCCACACACACAAAAAATGACAAAAAACTGCTGAAGTACCAGTAATCTCTCAGGGAGAATGTCAGAATAAGATATTGTAGAAGACACACTGAACCTGCTTTTCCATTCTGCATTACATGAACTTTGCTTAAGTCATATATAAAAGGCTTTCAAAAGTGAGGCAAAGGGTCCATTTGAGCAACTAAGCAGTACTTCTTTTTGGAATCTATTTTATTCTACCTGGGAATTAAGGTAGCTTAAGTTTTTCAATTCTGAAGAGAAACCATAGCCATTTTTTTGCCACTGTGATTGTCCTCTCCTAAGCAATCCTGGTGAACTTTGAGTTAAAGAAACGTGGAGGGAGGGTTTTCCCCTTTTGGACAGCTACTTTTGCTACAACTTTAAGAAAGGTGTGCCTTTGTTCGTGTATAATGTGGCTAAAACGAGAGGGAGTCGGGGTGTGGAGCATCCATATTTTGGGCACCCTCCCCCACTTCTTCTAAGAACAGGCCCTAGCAGAAGATCCAATGCATTGGATGGGCTCTAGGAGCTGTTTATCACAAGCCTTCCTTAGCAGAAATAAGCCTTGCTAGGTGATAAAAGGAGTTGCTGGTAAAATCCTGATTCCATTTGCTCTCCTGTGTTTTGTGCTTGTCCTCTGTTGTGTTACACATGGTCTGGAAATGAGACAAGGGCAGCTGAAGGGAGATGGGGGTAATATGGGCTGCTTCCAGTGCCCCTGGACATAATGAATGAAGGACCATTCTAATCTTTATCAATGAACAAAAAAGAAAGAAAGCTATCAAAATAACAGTAAGGCTGGATGTTGCAAGGTAATAACTTGCCTGTTGGGACTCCATTGTCTTCCAGTGCTGAAATAAGGCAACCACGGAGAGAAAATCCCCCAACGGGTTTGTTATCTTCCTATAGGAGAAAAAAAAAAGTGGACCAATGTGAGTAAAGCAAATAATCAAAATGTTCCATTCAACAAATTTGACCCAAGCAAGGAAAGTTTTGCTTGAGTCTGCCTCTATTTAAGGAGATGATCTGTGGTCCTTTCCCAATTGTTGACTGTAGTAGGTATCTAAAAAGGCAGTGGTAATGTGGATATGTTTGCATGACATGATAAACCATGGTAATGTGGACACTGCCTTATAAGCACTGCCACATGTGATTCAGGATATTTTAAAGTGGTTCTCATGGTCAACTGAAACTGAAACTGAAAAGCAACGACAATGTTTTGTCTCAGATTTTAGTTTCCACAAGCTGAGCAGCAGCAGATTGGCATGACACATTAGGCCTTAAGTATAATCTCCACAGTTGATTAAAAGGTTTAGACAATCTGGGGATTAAATAGCACTTTCACAAACACTTTACACTGCCTGAAGGCACTCCTATGCCGCCAACAATTCTATTTTTTTCAGTCCTTTAAAAAGCAGTCTGAAGGCAGTCTGGACTTAACTTCTCTTCTGCTGACTCACAACACTGAGAACCAGTAGCAAAGAATCACAGCCATGCCCTGAACCATCACAATGGTTCTGGAGAAAGAAACATTCTTACCACTGTTGAAAGGTGTCAAAATGCCTTTCTTTCGAGGATTAGATTTTCCCACTGGGAGAGCTCCGGCGCAAGGATACGGACAACTGCTTGAAAGCTGGATCTTTTTATTTTTCAGGAAGGCAGAGAACAGCGAGAAGTCTGCATTCCTGGGCTAGCTAGCTTCTTATGGTAAGTCCCTGGTTTTTTATACCCTTTTCTCCCTTTGTAAGTTGATTTTGTGTGAGTGTTTGTATTTGTGCCTAATGTTTCAAATCCTGTTTGAGTTTGTCTTTATTTCCGTCGGAGGGCAAACTCCGCGGGGTGCGGAAGGCAAACTCCACGGGGTGGCCAGATTGTATTATTGGTTTTCTGTAATCTCTTTTAGCTTTAAAATAGTTTTTCATATTTGTTCTGTGGCAATCTCCTGTCTGTCCCTTTTGTAATTTATATTTTGTGTCTTTTGTCTGTTTGTTTTGCTTATTTGGTATGTCCTGTGCTTGTAAGGGTTTTCTAAATTATCTTTTGTTTCCTTTTCCTATTTATCTAGTTTTCTTAATTACTTAGGCTTTTGTCTATAGGGATTCTTTAATACTTTTTATTTGATTCCTTTTCCTATGTAAGTTTGTTTTCTGGCTGACCTGATGTTCCCCTTGGGCTTTTCCTGTTTTTTTGTGTGACACTACTACCTTCGTGAAATTCCCTTTCCACACCACCTATGCACAAGGAAATGTTTAAAAACTCTTAGGTTCCTCTCCCCATCTTGATGTGTTGTGTAGCTATTTTGTCACAAGCAAAAGCTCAGAGTGGTTTGTGGGTGGGACTGTATTTTTGTTCAAAAGAGTGTAAGGGCCAGCTGATAGTTAGGAACTAGGAGTTGGGATAAGGTCAGACTTCCTACAAAACGGTCTCTTCACAACTTTAGGAGAGTTGGAAGATTTAAAAGATAGGACTACAGTAAACCTTGTAAATGAGCACAACTGAGACAAGCAACTCTGTCACTAAGCCATGACACATCGTAAGTGAGACATCATGTTTCACTCTGGCTTCA